GCATTTCACACTCAACCATGAACCTTATTCAGATTCACTCAGAGCCCCAATAGTATCCAGTTTGTCATCTGACAAAAAAGATGATCTCCAATTGGACTCTAAAAATAGCCATCTTAAACCCAAGGAGCAAGAGGACATAAAGACGACAAACGTGGTCCATGGCAGCACAACACTAGATACTACAGCTCTAAATGTACAGAACGATCAGAGACTTCACCGTGTGCTGACCCTGAACAACAACCACAATATCTGTGACCAGAATGCCGGGGGGCAATGGAAGTCATCTCTTTTATACTCCAAAACCGATAAAACCAATGAATTTCCAGAACAAAAAACTCAGGCGTGTACAAATGAGACTGTCACAGACAATCCACTTATTGAAACCTTAATTCTGGAAGCAGTAAGTGTGGAAATAAGAAAGGCTGAGGATAGTCCATCTTGTGATGTCAGTCTGTCTGAGATAGATGAGAAGTCAGAGGCAATTTCGTTTCATAGTGAAGCACTCGCTTGGTCTGAAGAAGAAAAGGATTATCTCGATGAGGAGAAGATTGAAGCAGCTCAAGCAAGTAGTTGCTCTTTAGCTTTTGCAGAAGAGTACACTGTTGTACTAGACGATTTTCAGCCTTATTTGAACAATAAACAGGAAGAACGCTGTACACCGCCACGTTACGAAAGACAACCGACTGTAGAGTCGACCCTGTCAGAAATTCTCTCTCCTGTAGATGAGGTTTTGTCTTACGGAAGTGCAGAACTCCCTCCATCCGTTAAAGGAGGAGCCGCATCAGGTCTTGACAGCTACGGTTGTCCTCCTCCTCCTCCTGCCTTTGAAATTATTACATGGACCAGTGAGGAGGAACTTCCAGCTCCACCTGATTCTGTGGAAGATCTCTCAATTAACAGTGAGAACCTCCCTCCTCTCCCTGTGGACTTCTCTCTGAAAAGAAAAGAGTCTCAAAGTCTAGACTCTAACAATCTGAGGGAAAAGGAGGTAAACGATGATACTAATGGAGCTCTGTGTGAGGACGCAGAGGAAAATGACTGTTCGGAGTACACTAGCTCACTTCCTGAAGATGTGAGCAATGAAATCTCAGATACATTGTCCTCATTTCCAATTGGAGACAGAGTTCTTGTGTGTAACTCCAGGCCGGGTGTGCTGAAATATAAAGGTCTCGTGGCGTTTGCGAATGGGTTTTGGGCTGGTGTTGCTTTGGATGCCCCTAACGGAAACCACGATGGAACTTTTAGAGGTGTGAAGTACTTTAGTTGCGACAAAAGCCACGGTGTCCTGGTCAGAGCTGAGGACATTGCACACATACAAAGAGAACATAGCAGTGATGTAGAGACGGGGGTGGATGAAGATCCCTTCTCAGATGAGGAGCCACCTAGGACAGAGAGAGATAAACAACAGAAGGCCACATCATTGGCAGATGGACGAAGAGGACATAGTCAGTGTCCTACTAGAGATGAGACCATACCTTCAAATACTACACACGCACGACAAAAAAATGAACCTCAGGAAGACACGTCAGATGGAGCAAGAAACCTTTCACATCCCTCTGAAATGCCCTCACCAAGAGTAAGCAACACCAAGCACTTAAAGGAATAGTTCCTCAAAAATGAAAATTCTTGAACCATTTAATCACCCTCATGTCGTTCCAAACCTGTTTGACTTTCTTTCTTCTTTGGAGCGCAAAAGGAGATCTTAAGATAAATGTAACTCTTTTGCATATAGTGGAAGCATGTACACTACCATTCAAAAAATTTTAGGTCAGTACGATTTTTTTGACAGTAGCAGTAGCATAAGACTTACAGTAGTATCTCACAGAAGTGAGTACACCCCTCACATTTGTGTAAATATTTTATTATATCTTTTCATGTGACAACACTGAAGAAATGACACTTTGCTACAATGTAAAGTAGTGAGTGTACAGCTTGTATAACAGTGTAAATTTGCTGTCCCCTCAAAATAACTCAACACACAGCCATTAATGTCTAAACCGCTGGCCACAAAAGTGAGTACACCCCTAAGTGAAAATGTCCAAATTGGGCCCAATTAGCCATTTTCTCTCTCCGGTGTCATGTGACTCATTAGTGTTACAAGGTCTCAGGTGTGAATGGGGAGCAGGTGTGTTAAATTTGGTGTTATCGCTCTCACTCTCTCATACTGGTCACTGGAAGTTCAACATGGCACCTCATGGCAAAGAACTCTCTGAGGATCTGAAAAAAAGAATTGTTGCTCTACATAAAGTGTTGCTCTGCAGCACGGTGGCCAAGACCATACAGCGGTTTAACAGGACAGGTTCCACTCAGAACAGGCCTCGCCATGGTCGACCAAAGAAAATTTTACACTGTTATACAAGCTGTACACTCACTACTTTACATTGTAGCAAAGTGTAATTTCTTCAGTGTTGTCACATGAAAAGATATAATAAAATATTTACAAAAATGTGAGGGGTGTACTCACTTCTGTGAGATACTGTATGTACTGATTTGATAGTGCTTTTAGGGTGCTTTTTGTTTTTACTGGAGCTCAACAGCCTCTGTTCACAGTATGATTTCATTGTATAGAAAAGAGGAGCATCAACATTCTTGCAAACAGAGTCACGCAGGCATTGAATTACATGAGAATGATTAAATGATGACAGAATTTTAATTTTTGGTTAGCTATTGCTTTCACAAACTTAGTTTTTCACAAACTATATGTAGCATATGGCAATTGTATCTATCACTGAGCACCTATATTTTACAGACCGACTTTGAGCTCCATCAAAACAGGCATCGTGCAGATACTAAGCTGACAGAAGAGCTGGATAGAGATGGAGTTCACTGTCCTCAGGATAACAGAAAGAGACAAAGAATTAAATCATTGCATGACAATCAATCTACAGATACTGTAAGTTGCCAAAACAACTGTAGAATTTGCTTTAGTGAAGAATACCAGTAATAAAAAATCTGTGTAAAATAGTATCTGTGCATGAAATTTGTTTGTTTTTTACTTTTACTGCACTTTTCTCTCTTTGATATTCAGGATGTCAGAAAAAGTGAGGATGGCCATTTTATGCCATGTGTCTTGGAGCAGTGGCATCAGGCCCAACCGGACATGCCACCAAAGATAAAGGTGCTGCCCCATGAAGACAGCATCGTGTACAGATTAGTGGATGCTGCAGTGGAGATTCTGTGTGGCCAAGCAAATAAAGACACTCTTGACCTTTATCAAACACCAAGCTATTTAATAGACGATGATAGTCGCAAACGTTATCGGCAGGTTTGTCTATGTAGGAATGTGTACATAACAAATAACTATAAAAATTATAAATGAATGAGAGAACCAAAACTCTGATCTAAACCTTGTTCATCTTACACTGTAGGTGATCTTTCAGTTAACATCTGATGTACTTCATGAAATTTGGGGTGATCTGTTAAGGACAAAACAATCTGCCCAGAATATAGATGATCAATCTGTGATCACAGCCCTGCAATCCAGTCAAATTTCAGTCACATTTTTAAAGGTATTTCATTATTTATTTTTCTGTTGAACTAACATTTTGATGAAAGTACTTTTAAGAACATTTACAGTTTGTTAATCTAATGTTATTTGCAGGCTGCCATGAGAAAAGAGATACAGAAAATTCTGAATTTAGAGCGAAGTGAGCAACAGATGACAGAGATGCTCCAAAAACTGTGCAAATACTGGTACGCCAAGAGAGACAGAGTGGACTTTATACTGGTGTGTGTAAAGGCACTCCTATAATTGCTTATGAAATGAGTGGTCTTGGTGTAACTTCAGCTCAAATATTATTTAAGACTGCAGTAAATGGTAGAACTAAGAATGTCTCGTTTTGTCTTTTTATCTACTTCTAGATTCAGGAACTTCATAATGAGGAGAGAACTTGGCTAGACTATAGAGCTGATCAGTACACTGTGAAGATGCATCTGACTGAGGAGATTTTCAGCCTTCTTTTGGATGACACAATATTAGCCCTAAATAATATGCACTTTTCAACCTAAAAGACAAGTTTCAGAATCTTGACATTTTCATACATCTTTGATATGTTGTTATTTTCTTTTTCGGTGAGTCTCAAAAATCCTGTCAAGAAAATATTTCATAAATTATATTTTGTTAAAGAACATAAATGTATAAACCCATACACCTGTTTTAGGACCATTAAGTTTTCTTGCATTTTGAACTTATTTTCATGACAATTAAGCAGATTTTCACCTAATTTGCACTTTTGCAATTACTGTAGGCTAATAAAAAAAAATTTAATCTCAATACTGAAATTCTAAGAAATTATATATTATTTAAATTATAAAGTATTTATATGTTATATTAGTATTGGTTGTACTGCTTTTAATATCTTCTAATTTTAAAAAAATAATGTCATTTGTTTATTGTAATGAATTAAATATAATACTGTATTACAGTAATGATAACCTGCAAATCATCATGTAGAATAATGAGAATTACAAAAAACTCTAAATTAAATGCACTGATATATTACATTTATGAGAATTTCAGGACGGAATGTGCTTCGTGGTCATACAATGCGACAAAACGCTCATATCAAAATAAAAAAAGTAAAATTTTCTGTATGCAAAATCTATATATTTCTTTTGATTTTGGGGTGACATGTTACATTAACCTGTCTTTGTGAGATTTACTCTTTGTTTTTCATCATGAATCTTAATCATTATTTTAAAAAATCAATTCAAAATCAAAATCTATGTGTTTGTATTACAATACAATCAAGCTGAAATATATTTCATTCGTAGCAACACGTGTGGTGTTTTTTTTCTTCAAGTAATGATACAAATAATATAAAGAGCTTAATTTTGCTTCTATTAGAGTACCATACACCGATGAATTATTATTCAGTAACAGCACCACATACACGATATGCGTCGCCCGTACGCAGATAGGATGCGCGACATAAGCGTCTGCGTCCTCGTAGCGCAGTGACGATGCTCCAGAAGACTCACGTCCCCCACTAAATGTAGTCATCCATAGGAGCGAGCAGAATCAGTCTGAATGTAGAGGATTCATTTAAGTGAGGGGTTTCAAATTGTATGGCGTTTCTTCCATCCCCTCCAATGGCAGTTGCGTTTCGCCTTAAGATCGGTATTCTGTTGGGGCTGCTGTTCAGACAGGCTCAGTCAGCTCGATTATACACTGAAGAGGATCCAGTGGTTATACTGAGCAGCGACAGCCTGAAGCAGACCGTGTTCAACTCCTCCAGCGCCTGGCTGCTTCAGTTCTACTCGTCGTGGTGCGGCCACTGTATCCAGTACTCGCCTACATGGAAAGCACTGGCAGGCGACGTGAAGGGTAGGTGGATTTGTATGATCATCTTCCTGTTTATTCACTCATCTCGGGGAAGGACAGTAACATTTCCTTAAACGTTTAAATTATTCACTTCAGGAACACAGATTTTTCCAGAGGTTATTTAGGGATGGTCATCCTTACTATGGAGATGGCAATAGCCTTACCATGCTATATAATAGCACCAACACTTGTTATCAACCAACATATGTTAACGAATACCATGGTACTATCATGGTAATGTGCATAGACGTGGTATTGCTATATTTCAAGTCCAAAATCATGGTAGTGACTTTATTTGTAATGACTCTAGTGCTTTTTCTGTTTGGCTTTTTTTTCTACAGCTGATTTTCGTTTTCATTTTAAATGGTGTAAGTCTATTGCCTTGTACATGATCACATGGGTTTTGCTTAATGAGGCTTACAGTGTTTTTGTGCATTTGGTCTTAAGTACACAGGAGGACATGCATGGGAAGTCGATAAGCCCTGGTTTGTTGATACACCTGCACGTAAATCCACAGTTGTTGCTGACTGTTTTCGGTATTTGTCATTGCGCTCAAGGCCTCTATGTTCACCCACAGCACACACACTACCAGAGAAATGTCTCCAGGTACTACTGTACAGTGTATTTATATTTAGTCATCTTTTAATATTTTTTTAACATTTAAAGCTATAGTTTACCCCAAACAAAAAATGGTGTCATTATTTCCTCACCCTCATGTTGGTCCAAACATGTGTGACTTCGTTTGTTCTGTGGAATATTATTCTGGCCACACTTTTAATATAATTGTACGATGCGTTTTAGTGCCACGTTCTAAGGTTACGATATTAAAGTCATAATATTTTGTGAAAAAAAGTCAAATTTACGAGAATAAAGTCGGAGCAATATGAGAATAAAGTCGAAATATTTTAAGAATAAAGTCAAAATTATGAGAATAAAGTCGAAATATTTTGAGGATAGAGTCAAAATTACGAGAATGAAGTTGAAATATTTTGAGAATAAAGTCGAAATATTTTAAGAATAAAGTCAAAATTGCGAGAATTAATTCTAAATATTTTGAGAATAAATTCGAAATATTTTAAGAATAAAGTCGAAATTACGAAATTGAAGTCGAAATATTTTGAGAATAAATTCAAAATTACAAGAATTAAGTCGTATCAATTACGAGATTAAAGTTATAATATTTTGAGAGTATAGCCTATATTGCACATACAAATGGCCCGGATTGGGAGCACTGGGAGAAATTCCGGTGGCCTGGCAACTGATTTGAATATATGTGGGATTATTAGCAGAAATCATACCATGTGTCATACACACGCAGGGACAATATGCTTGGAAATAATATTTCAAGTTTTCGAATGCATTCATTATATTCCAAATCCATATTCCAAAATATATTCCATATTTTGACTTTATTCTCATATTGCTATGACTTCATTCTCATAATTTTGACTTTTTTCACAAAATATTATGACTTTAATCTCGTAATCTTAGATTTATCCATAAATGCATAGAAGCCATTCATGTGACTTGTGCACTATATTCATAGAGTTGTGTGACAAACGGTCAGAATTTAAGTCATTATTTGACACAAGTTTATGAGAAACTGTAAATGATTCTCTTTTTTTTTTCTTTTTTTTTTTGAATCAGATCTTTTCAGTGAATCAGTTGAGCTGGTTCATAAAACTGGTCTGAATGATCTGTTCATAAATCAGTCTGGTCTAGTTCTCAAGTTCAATTTACTGACAGCAGTGAATAGCCCACTGGAGGGAAGATTTTCAGGGAATAATAACTTAGATTTTGGTCTGTTTGTTGCGCAAAGCTATTGTATGGCATCAGAAGATTCAGAATATAGTGTATTTCTATGATAGATTTGTTTGGCAAAAGGCCAGAATTTAAGTCGTTATTCAACACAAGCTCATGACAGTAAGTGCGATGTCCAAACGGTGACTGAATCGTTGTTTTGACTAAGTCAGGTCTTTCTAATGAATCAGTTTGGTCCATTTCTCAAGTTTAACTTACTGACTCAGCAGTGAATAGCCCACTGGAGGGGAAGATTCTCAGAGAATAGTAACTTAAATATCATTATGTTTGTCATACAAAGCTTTCTAATGGTTTCATAAGATTTGGAATATAGTGCAGAAATCATATATTTTCATGATGCTTTTGTATACATTTGAAGCTTGAATGCTCCAGTGCTCATTCATTCTAACTGCAAGAAAAAAGAGCTACGAGCTACATGTACTTATACAGTAGTATTTCTTCTTTTGTGTTAGATGGAAGACAGAGCGTATTTACAGGTTTGTTATGATATGTTATTGGCTAGAGCTTGTAAGCAATTATCAATTTTGTGTGAACTAATCCTTTAAATAGTCCTACAGCAGTGTTTCCCCTGCCATTATATTAGGGGGGCGGCCCGCCCCCCCCACGGCACCCCCCGCCCCCCTTGAAGGTCAAGTTAATTTTATTTAATTAAGGTCTATATACCTTGTTCTTTTATTAAGCAAACTAAATAGCCTTATGTTTTTTATTTTATTTACACGACGGCATATCATTTCGGTCTCTTCGTTATGGTCGCGCTCTCTGTATCACGCACAGCGGAGTTCCGCCCCGCGCACACACACACACACACTCACACACAAGTGAGCCCACTCCCACTAGTATTTGTAAATATTAAGCCGCAAAACGATTCATATTTAAATGAATTCTGCGTGTCTCTGTGTCAATGAACGGCGCAGACGCGCAGTTTTGTTTACTACTCGTACTGAAGTGCGTGTGAAGCTTCCGGTGATTTCAGCGTCTGCCGTCTCACTAACGAGGACATAAATATATGAACAACATCTCCAGAATTTGACCGTTTCATTTGAGTAAAACTATCCTCATATATACACACAGAAACGTATATATATATATTTTTTTTTTTACACATTTAATTTAAATGGGGGCAAATGCATTTAACACCTTGTCGCGAAGATGCTAAAAGTGGTAGAGCTGTGAAATTAGGTAGGGTCCGTTTTTTAAACCATCAGTGTGACAGTTTCAGAGTTCTTTCTCACTGGTGTTCGCTGCTTTACGACCCATACAAAAACATACTGTGACGGAACCATGGTTAAGTGATTTTGACAAACGAGTAACGAGTTTTCATTCATTTTTTGGTGTTACAAAGGAAGTTTAAATAAGAATCTTAAAGGGATATTTCACCCCAAAATTAATATTCTGTCATTAATTATGTTGTTCCAAACCTGTATTTATTATTTTTTTTACTTCTGTGGAACATAAAATAAGTTATTTTAAAGATTGTTTGTGACCAAATAGTTTTGGTAACCTCTGACTTCCATTGTATGGTCAAAAACACTGAATTTCTCAATATCTTCTTTTTATGAATGTTTAGCAGTAAGTTTGGAATGATATGTGGTAAGTAAGGCCTAAATGATGATAGAATTCAATTCTGGGCATAACTTTAACTTGTTCACTTTTTTTTTTTTCAAAATCCTCAAAGCTCCTTTTTCTGGGTTTAAATTGAATTCTAAATTCAGCTTTTCAATGAGCAGGCAAACTTTTGGACTATGGTAATGAATTATTACTGTATTATTCTTATGCTGAAGTATTTTTGTGGTGTCTTTTTGGTAATCATTTTCTTAAAAAGACCAGAATATGGTTGATTCATGAATGCATGGGTCATTATCATATCGTAGGGTACAGTGTATATGTTCTGGAATGCCATGCCTTGCTTTTCCTCTTCGTTGGACTGGGAAGGAAGGGATGATTGTGGCCTTTGGATGACAAACGTTGCGAGGACAAGTCTTCTGTTGAATGCTTTCAGTCTGCCTTTGTTGGCATAAGCTGTCGGCTGGGTGGCTTGCGAGTGGCCGCCTACCAGCTGTTACCTTCACAATGAGGGTCAGATGGCCCTATTGTGAGGATGCGACCCCGCTGTGCATTCCCCCACACATCCCAAAACCCACAGAGTCCTACCCTCAGGTGAAGAATAGAGGGCTAAAATGCCGCCGGCTGTCCCTCCTCTCTCTCATCCAAACATTTTTATATCAGCTGCCTTCTTCACACCCCATCTGCTTCATTTTTCTGACACAGATTTTACAGCTGTTCCGTTTATGAGTTTGCGTTGAAAACAAACCATCTGGCTACAGAAACTCTGTATACAATGTATGAAATCATGCTTTGATTTCGTCTCACAAAGTTTTATGTGAGAGACTTAGTATCTACGTTTCCGATGTCAGAGCTCAGAACCATGTAATGCATTAAATGATTTTAGGCTTCCTGCCAGAGTTCCTTTTACCTGTCCACTTAGGCTATCTGGCATCTGTTCTGAGTGCCAGTACGGATAAAACATTTAGTGTGGACGTCAGCTTGTGTTTTACAACACAAATGAAGAAACTGGGCACAAGTCTCTACAAATGCTCTTTTACCTCTTTGTTTTATGCTTGTGAAATGTCTAAAAGGAGCGTTATTAAACCAAAAACAAGTGTTGACATAATATGGCACTTCATCACTTGATTTGATTTTGGGTTTGTTCACCCAAAAATTATGTCATCATTTTATATTTTTCATGACATGAGAGGTTTATGTCTCTCCACTGAAAGTCCATTACTTCAAAACGTTGATGCTTTAACAAATTCAGAAAGAGATTGTAAAAGTAATCCATATGAATTAAGTGTTGATCCATGTTTATATTTGAATAAAAGCCTAAATTAAAACTGTTCATCATATAGCCTAAAACAATTCTGTGTCTTTAGAAGACTTGGATTAAATGACTTGATTAATATGGATTTGATCTCTTTATGAACGTTTTGAAATTTAGGGAAGTTTTGGTGGAATGGACTTTCAATGGAGGGACAGAAATCTCTCAGGTTTCATTAAAAATATCTTCATTAGTCATTCAATGATTAATAAAAGTTCTTGAAATGTGTGATGTGTTTCTCTACTCTCATAGACTGGGCACAGGCCATTCGTATAGGCGTTCTGGATTGTGCTCATGAGAAGAACTTTGACATCTGTAAGGAGTTTGGAATCCACTTCTACCCCACCTTCAGGGTATGTTTGTGCAAATTATTTTATTTATTCTTTCAGCAGATTAAACCTATACAGTAAATCCTAACCAGGGTGTGCGATATTGACAAAATCATTAGATGCCATTTAAAAAAAATGACACTTTAAATATGAAACTAAACTGTCATTAAGTTTTGGCAAGTCACTGTCTTAATGAGTGAGTCAATGAGTGATTCATTCAGTCGATCAATTTAAACAGCTGAGTCATTCAAAAAGAGATTGTCTTTATGAATGGGTCATTGAATCATTGACTCACCCGATTTGTTCAAAAATACAGATACATTCAGTAACATCTCCAGTTACTGGAGATGAACAACAGTTCAGCTGTAGATTTGTTTGGAACCATTTTTGTTGGCAAATAGAGCAAAAACAGACAATAATGAAAAAATTTGTCTAAAATGTAACTCAAAATATTAATTTCTTGTTTATTGTTGTATAAAATCAATATATTTCAATCACATTAATAATCGATAAAAACAGCAATATTGTTTGTGTGATATTGCTTAATTATATCATATAATGTAAAATATTAGACAAAAACTCATAATTTGCATTTTTGGCCCATACATCTTTAAGTAACTCCAAGCATGTTTTTATTTGGTTTTTGCCATATAGAAATCTTATTGGTCCAAACTCCTGCTCTACAATGCTGTAAGGATGATTTACAATAATCACCTAGTCATCTAGTTGTCTATTAACAGACTAGCCAATTAGAGAGGCTGACTGGATTATTTGGATTTAGATTAATTATTTATTTATTTATATTTATTTTCACTTAATTAGCATGCTGACAGCCTTCTGTGTTTGCACAGTATAAAACTTTTTGCAAAGGTTGCATCTTTGAATTCATGCATTAAATGCATCATGCTTCCTATGCTAAAAATATCCTATTTTTTATAATGCTATGGCAAGTTAACTTTAAAAAAAATGAAAACTCTGCCTTCTGTTCTGTTTTGTTGTGCTCCTTTCTAGCTGTTTTTGTCTTGTCTTTGACTGATCGAGGTCACGTAAACCTGAAACCAGAGTAATTATACAATAGACAAATGTATTATTACACCCTTATCAAATTTCTTGTTGCCAGAAACATGCCTATTTAGGACATTGTAAAAATGGACACATATAGAACATGTTGTTTTACTGTTTTAGAGATTTCATTTGGGAATCATTTCTTTTTCCTTTTCTTTTTTTTAGTATATTAAGGCACATGACACCACTAATGATTATGGGAAGACATATCATGGTAGGTTTAATCATTTTAGCTCTGATTAGAATTTTAATTTTGTCAGTTATTATTGTTGCAGTGATTGTTATTATTATGGAACTAACTTGAATTTCTGATTTTGTTATATTTTTGTACTGAATAGGGGCTGACAGAGAGCTTCAGACAGTGAGGCAGTTGATGGTGAACTTCCTCCAAAACCACACAAAGCAAGACTGGCCTGTGGGCTGCCCTCCCCTTGACCCTGCCAGGTGCCCAAATCTACAATATTACCACCCATTTTTTAATCTTCTTTACATGTACATTCAATTCCAGACATTTTTTTAATGTTTAACATGTTCTGTCTCCAGCTTCCGGAGGAAAATTAGGGATGTTTGTTTAGGGCTTAATTTCTAGACATAAATGGAATACATCTCCGTTTCTTATTTAGAAACATTGAATTTGTCATCTGTTGCAGGTCTGAGGACATCCTGTCCTTAATGGGGAAGAAAACGGAGTTCTATACTGCAGTTATAGTTGAGGACAAAGACTCTTATATAGGAAGAGAGGTAATGGTTGTCAATTTCCTATACTTACAAAAAATGTTTAATTAATCTGTTTTTGTAAAACTTAAAGCAGTGTAAGATCAGATGTCATAGTTTAGTCACCCATATGTCTTTCCAAATTGATCTGATTGTTACTGGCCAATTATTTTTTAAAGCTGATCAATTTTCAGTTCATTTATATATAATTAAAGCAGGCACAATTCACACATGCAGCTTATAGCATGGCAAGTGACGCAACGCTCCTTCCCTTATCTCAGTGAACCTAGGTTACGTCAGTAACCAGAGTGTTCACTATCGAAGGGTCTCCCCCTTTGGGTTTAATGCAAAATGGGGAATGCATCCAATCATGCCGTGCTATGAGCAGATACAGAGCGACCTGCTCTGCAAGCCCAGTCTTAGAGCACTTAAGTTAAGGACTCCTAAAGAACATGAGCAAAACTGAGTCCCAAGCTAATTGGCTGAGGACTACAGACATAACCCTTTCCACCTCCAGGGACAAATAGGCAAATTAAGCAGACAAGGTCTGTGCCTGCACGGCAGGGAAGTCTAAATGATAGAATCTGGCAAATGTGGACCGTGAAGACCAACCGGCGACCGCACAAATCTCAGCAATAGAAATTCCGCTAGACCACGCCCAGGAGGAGACCATTCCTCTGGTGGAGTGGGCCTCACACCTATTGGGCACTGTAAGACCAGAAGCCAAGGCTATAACATCCACTATCTAGCGAGAAAGTCTCTGCTTCGTAAGTGGCAGCCCTTTAGAGCGGCCTCCGAAGCACACAAAGAGCACTCGAAGTACACTCTAAGAGCCCTCAATGGGCAGAATGGATTAGGAGCCTGCTCACCGTCTGTACCGGGTACTGCCAGGAATGTGATAACCCGGGCTCTGAATGAAGTTGAGAGCACCTACGGTACATAACCATGTCTTGGCTTGAGGACGACTTTGTAGTCGTTAGGCCCAAACTCAAGACAGGAAGCACTGAATGACAGTGCCTGCAAGTCACCCCCTTGCTTGACCGACGCTAATGCCAATAGGAGGGCAGTCTTAAGCAACATGGGCTGCAGCTCGGCCAAATGAAGCAGCTCGAAGGGAGGGCCCCGTAGGGCCTTTAGGACTATTGATAAGTCTCAGGTCAGCACAGTCTGAGGACGAAGAGAATTCAATCTCCGGGTTCCCTTCAAGAACTTAATGATCAGATCAGCAGCTCCTGTAAAAAAGTTAGCACATGGGATACGTCACAAGAGACCGGATCCAGGCTTTGTGCAGAATACCAGTCATGAAAGACTGTCCATTTAAGGGCGTAAAGGTGTCTTGTGGACGGTGCTCTAGCCTCTAAAATGGTGTTGCTCACTCTTGCTGACCCGTATGATGACCTGAGGAAGCAGGGCAATCAGGGGGAAGGCATATAGGTGAGCGCTAGGCCAGTCGTGGGCCAGGGCTTCTCGCTGCATTGAGAAATAAGTTGGGCAGAGAGAGTTGTCTTCTGAGGCGAAAAAGTCGACCTCTGCCCTCCCGAAGACCGACCAGATTTCCTGAACCGTCTTGAGGATGTAGTGTCCATTCCCCAGGAGCTACATTGCCTCTGGACAGCATATCTGTGCCCAGGTTCAGACTGCCCAGCACATGAACCACTCTTAACGAGAAAAATTTGTTCTGTGCCCAAAATAGGAGGCGCCAAGCCATCCTGTAAAGGGCATGTGACCATAATTTCTAGGCAGTTGATATGCAGGCGTCGCTCCGGGGCTGACCAGGAGCCGGATGCCGGATTGCCCTCTAACAGAGCACCCTAAACCGAGTTGGAGGCGTCTGTCGTAACTACCTTCCTCTTGGAGGTCAGTCCCAACTGCACACCTGTTTGGAACAGGCGAGTCGCTGAATAGTCAGGGACCGTTCCGGCGTAATCCATGCCCGCATCTGGGCAGAGTCTTTAATCATCCCCAGAAAGAAAGCTCGCTGCGGATTCCCATCTGTCTCAGAGGGGAAAGAGCCGCTTCTATGCACTTCGTAAAAGTGCGTGGGGCGAGGGACAGTCCGAATGGAAGGACTGTATATTGATAAGCCACCCCCTCGAATGCGAATATCAAGAACGGTCTGTGACGGGGGCTATATGGATGTGAAAGTAAGCGTCTTTCATATCCACAGTCAGAAACCAGTCCTCGGGGCATATTTGCATGAGGTTCTGCTTCAGAGTTAATATCTTGTAATATACGGCCGTCTCATAAGTGAGCGATTTAGATGTCTGAGATCTGGAATAGGTCTGAGCCCGCCATTTTTCTTGGGAACGAGGAAGTAGCGGCTGAAGAACTCTGACTCGCTGTTCGCTAGAGGTACCGTTTCCACAGCACCTTTTGCAAGCAGTGTTTGTACTTTGGACTGGAGAACATGCGCTTTGTTGTCACGAACCAAAGTTTGAATAACATCTCTGAAGCGAGGAAGCCTGTGAGCAAACCGGAGTAACCTCGTTTTACTGTATGTAGAACCCAATTTGAAACACCCGGGATGGCTGCACAGGGTCTTCTGGTGACTTGCAGCTGCAGAGCCAGAACACTTAGTGACGCAGCGCCTGCGACGTCTTCTGTGCCTCAGAGAAGCGCTCCGCAAACCCATCCACGGTGGGGCCAAATAGTCCCTTTGGCGAGACCGGTGAGTCCAGGAAGGCCATTTTCTCAGTGTCCCTGATCTCAGTAAGGATAAGCCAGAGGTGGCGATCCTGCCCCACCAGGCTGGCCATGGTCTTGCCGATCACCTGAGCCATAGCTTTCGTTGCGCGCAGAGCCAGGTCAGTCGCTGTGCGCAGCTCTTTGAAAGCATCATGATCCTGGCCAGACTCATCCATGCTGCAGAGAAGTTTGGCTTGAAACACTTGTAGAATCACCATCGAATGCAGAGCCAATCTTGACTGACCGGCCGCTGCGTAAGCCCTGCTGGCCAAGGCCAACGTAGTCCCGCAGGGCTTGGAAGGGTGCGCGGCATGGGCTTTCAAACTGAGGGCAGATGGTGGGAACAAGTAGGCAGCGACCGTTTCTTCCAGAGCGGGTAGCTTGCTGTAGCTTCTGTCCTCAGCGCCGTCAACGGTGGTGAGAGTGGCTGAAGAGGAGGAACTAACACGGGCTGAATAGGGGGCGCCACATCTTGGTGAGTTCTTCATGAACTGCAGGCAAGAATGGAGCGGGCCACTGGCGAGGGGGCTGATGGCATCCATGGAGGAGCCATTCATCCAAAAGGCCATGGGCGGGCTCTACCAGAGCCGACCACTCTAAGCCGAGATCCTCCACTGCCTTAGAGAGCACTCTGATCAGCTCGCTGTCCGGTCTCGGCCATGAAGCAGGAGGGGCTTCCCACTCTTCAGTGTCTGACGCCATAAAGGACAATGAGTCGTCAACAGCAATCTCTTCCTTGGAAGCACCAAAGGAAATCAAGCCACTCGCAGTAGGGGAGGGGCGCTGATCCTCCTGTGTGAAGCACACCAGCAAGACGAGATGATGTGGGGAGGGAGGGGCATGCTGGTGCTGAGTCAACGTGAAAGGAAAGGAAACAGGGAAGCGGAGCGGGGAGAACCACATTCATTGAAGAAGGCAACCCGCGAGCGGAGACAGGAAAGGCTCATGCTCTCGCAGTGAGAAATGAAGCCTCAGTGAGCGCAGCACTCGCTGTGCACTCAAGGTGCGACATTTGAAACAACAGCCCACTGGGAATTTGCTCAGAAGTTTGCTCTTTTTCAAGCCGGATAGCCACAGGGGAGTCTTCGTCCTCTGCCGGGGGCTCTTCAACGGCGGTGAGCAGAGCTGAGCTTCTTTCCTTCTTCTTTCTTTGGCTTCTTGATTGCAAAGTCAGCGAAGAGATGATCCTCGTTGCTGAAGGAGAAGATTCTGGTGAAATAGCGTTCTGAGCTGACTTATATAGAGGTCGGCTCTGCCCCTTGTGGCGGGCTAAAGCACCATTGGTTTGTGCAGCTACACAAACGTGAAAAAATCAGGCTTCAGTAACAGAGTAAACAGGAGTTTCCCATTCTGCATTAAACACAACGGGACAGACCGTTCGATAGGGAAGTAAACTCTGCTGATTGACAGAGTTTTCCTCAGTGCTGTAAGCATGACGTTGCATCACCGGTAGGCAATTTGTCGTTGTAAGGAACAAGAAGTAAACTTCTGATGAGACATACCTTAATTCAGATATGTATGCCATTTTGTTTTATTGATATTAAATTAACTGTTATATGCCCATTCAAGGGTAACTATAGTCATTCTGCTGAATCGCTGTACAGGGGAGAAAAATGGGGGAAAAAATGCAAATGCATGTAAACATTAATTAATGGCAAGTGACTTTAAAAAAAAATAAATATGGCAATTGGTCTCAGATTCCATGATCTGTGCACCACTTTCAAATTAGTATGACTTTCTTCCACTGAACACAACAGAAGAAAACACAAAAAAAGGAGAATTTTTGCAGAATGTCCAGGCTGCTCTTTGCCATAACACAAAAGTAGATAGACACTGTAAAGCTCCAAAAATATAAGTATTATATTATAAAAGTATATTCAGTATAATTCCTGTAAAGCTGTACAATAGCTTTATGAGGAACAGATTGACATTTTAAATATTTTTTTTATTTAAAGTACAAGGTTAATTTCCCTTTCGCCCTGCCAATATGTTCCATATATTCAAGCGTGGCGTATTCATGATACACTACAGATCCAAAGTCTTGTGTAGCTCAAATGGTAGAGGATGCCACTAGTAAATTTCAAGGAAACACACATACTGATAAATGTCTGCAAAGAAAGAAGTTTTCCTGTGTAACATGAATGGACCAGATCAGAACTAGTGGAATGAGATATTCAGTGAATAATCACAGAAACTTAGATCTGTTCTTTACACAAAGCTATTATATTGCTTTAGAAAACCTACATAGCACTTTTATGGCACTTTTGTTTTTTGGTAATTTTTGGTGCTTGATGGTTGAGTCTATTTTTGCTGTTAGAAAACAGTTTAAACCAGTGGCTCTCACCAAATCTTTAATTTTGTTATATTAAATAAATCATAATTAAAATGATGAAAACACTATAAATTAAGATATACGGCATTAAACTGATATCATATTTGTTAGTTGTTGTTTTTTTACACTACAGAAGTGCAGTTTAGGACAGCCTTTGAATATTGTCTTGGACAAGGGGGGCTTTGGAGTGAAAAAGTTGAGAACCACTGGCTTAGACAATCCAATAAACCAAACTCCTTTTGTGTTCCATGGAAAAAAGAAAATAACATAGGTTTCGAATGACGAGTGGGTGAATAGATGATGATCTAAATGATCCCTTTAGGCATAATTAGTGATGTAGCTTTGTGCTCTTTTTAACTAGGTAATTTTGGACCTATTGCCATATGAGGGTTTGGCAGTGAAGAGAACGCTGAGCTCAGACAAACTTCTAATGGAGGAACTAGGAATTACTTCAGTTCCCTCAGTGTACCTCTTCCATCCCAACGGCACACACACTATCATGAATGTGTAAGTTAACTGCTGAATTAATTTCGGTCTAACCATCAATCAGAAGCCCTGTTAATGTGCATTTGGTACATTTTTGTATGTTTTAACAGTCAGAAGAGGCTACGCTTTTTCTTCTCCTCCTTCCTAAAACTCCTCCCTGGAGTACACAGGAAACAGTCCACCTCATCCCTGCAGCGTCCTCAGCCTGGGAATAATGGACAGGGAACCCAGGTGGAGTGGAAAGTGTTTGAAAAGTGAGTTTTATTTATATATACACTACTGTTCAAAAGTTTGGAGTCAGCAAAGACCGATAACATTTTTTTTAAAGTTGCAAAAGATTTCCGTTTTAAATAAATGCAGTTCTTTTGAAGTTCCTATTAATCAAAGAATCCTGAAAAATATATCACAGTTTCCACAAAAACATTAACCAGCACTACAGTTTTCAACATTGATAATAATAATAATAAATGTTTCTTGAGCACCAAATCAGCATATTACAAAGATTTATAAAGGATCATGTGACACTGAAGACTGGAGTAATGACTGCTGGAGTAATTCAGCTTTGCACCACAGGAATAAATTACATTTCAAAATACATTAAAATAATTTTGAATTGTAATAGTATTTCACAGTATTACTGTTTTTACTGTATTTTTTTATTAAATGAATGCAGACTTAGTGAGCACAAGAGACTTAAAAAACATCTTAAAAATCTTACCAACTCCAGGCTTTTGATCAGTAGTGTAAATTTCCTGTACAATGTGAAGTAGTCCAAATTGTCTGCAGTTTAACGGTTTAGCAGATGAACACCTATAGGTTTTTTTTGCTTGCTGTGAATTTAACTTTTAAGATGAGGTAACTAATATGAATGTTTCTTCAGGTCTAAGGTTTACATGGCAGATCTGGAATCTGGCTTACATTATTTACTGAGGGTTGAACTGGCCACACACAAGACCTTAGAAGGAGAAGAACTAAAAACTTTCAAGGACTTTGTAACAGTTGTCGCCAAGGTAGTGTTGTAACACAAACACAACTTTTTCTCTGTACTTGAGCTGTCTTCTCACACTACAATTGTTTTCATTAGAACGTCGAAATTTACAGGGTAGTATCTTACTTGGCCCCTTTGACTGTAGCTATTCCCAGGTCGCCAATCTGTGGTGAAACTTCTTGAGACGTTGCTGGAATGGCTAGTCAGTTTACCTTTGGAGAAGATCCCCTACGATGCTATCCTGGACTTAGTTAACAACAAGATGAGGGTAAGACCGTCACCCACTAAACAACTTATTCATTGCCAAAACGCTGATGCCCCTGCTATTAAAAGCACAATACATCTCATACAGTGTCTTTGCCTAATGACATGTACGTTGTTTTTTTTTGTCGTTTTCCATGCATGTGACAGAAGCGTAAATCAGTATGTTGGTGGTCTTAAAGGACTCTGTTTGTATTATTCTCAGATCTCAGGGCTGTACCTAGGTGAGCAAGTGCAGTGGGTTGGATGCCAGGGTAGTAGTGTGGCACTAAGAGGATATCCCTGCTCCCTCTGGACTCTGTTTCACGTTCTGACTGTGCAAGCTGCCAACCGACCTGATGCTCTAGCTAACACTGGTATGAGCAGGGAAATCCCTTTCTCTTAATCAACCTGAAACATGTTTGAGATGATCTCAGCAGTTGTTATTGTAATTGTAGATTAGTAAATTGAGACTAAAAATTCTGTATAAATAATTCTGTAATATAATACGTTGGGTCTGTAGCAAGTGATTCATTTGGTAGGTGTTTTCTATTAGTTCCTGTTCTTCATTGCTACAATTAATTTAAACCCACCTTCTTCCTCTCAGGGTTTGAGGATGATCCCTTGGCAGTGCTTCAAACCATGCGTCGCTACATTGGGACCTTCTTTGGGTGCCAGGAGTGTGGGAAGCATTTTGAGGAAATGGCTCAGGAATCTGTGAACCAGGTCAAGACTGTTGATGAGGCTGTGCTGTGGCTGTGGAGAAAACACAACCAGGTTAACGCAAGACTGGCAGGTAAGACAGAAAAATGACTGCACAAATATGCATTTAGAAACTCGTAAGTGTATACATTAACATTGATAATAATAAGCACCAAATCAGCATATTAGAATAATTTCTGAAGGATCATGTGACACTGAAGACTGGAGTAATGACTGCTGATAAATTCAGCTTTGCCATCAACAGGAATAAATTACTTTGTAAAATATATTCAAATAGAAAACCGTTATTTTAAAGGGGTCCTATTACGCGTTTTCACTTTTTCAACTTTAGTTAGTCTGTAATGTTGCTGTTTGAGCATAAAAAAGATCTGCAAAGTTACAAATGGACCACTTTAAATTGTAATAATATTTCACAATATTCCTGTTTTTACTGTATTTTTGATTAAATAAATGCAGCCTTTATGAGCATAAGAGACTTGTTTCAAAATATATATACAATATAATACGTAAAAAATACAATATAAAACAAAATAAAAAAAAAACCAGCCCCAAACTTTTTGACTGCAGTATGGTGTAGGAAGAAAGTAAGAAGAAAAAAAAAGGAAAACTGGCAGTTAAGGAGGAATCGGGGGAACAGACAGGTGGCAAGAAAGGAATGAAACAGACAGGAAGGAAGATGAAAAAGAAAGAAAGAAAAAAGAAATAGGACTGTAATGAAAGAAAAAAGAAGGTTAAAAAAACATGACAAATATAAGGACAGAAAGGAAGAAGAAAAAAGAAGCACCGCAGGGAAAGAAAAGGAAAAGGAACTAGAACTGGAAGGAAAAATAAGTGGGAGAAATGATAGGAAAAAACATGAAGAGAGAAAAATGAAGGACAGGAAGCAAGAAAGGAGGAAAGACATGAAGGATAGAATGCAAAGGTAATAGAAAAAAGAAAAGATAATAACAGAAAGTAGGATGGAAAAGAAAGGAAAGAGAAAAGAAAGATAAGTATCAAGGAGTAGGAAGGAAAGAAGGTATGCAATTAGGACTGGAAGGAAAACAAGAAGTGAAGGGAAAAAAAGGCAAAAGCGGAAGGAAGAAAAATAACAAACGAAAAGAAGAAGAAAAAGGAAGGAAAAGGGACAGGGGGGGGGAAGGATGGAGGGAAGGGCAGAAAGGAAGAAACTTCATTGATGCACAAGGAGAAATTCAGGAAGAACTATATTTTCATGTCCAAACTATAAATGTAAAGTTCTCATATGCATGCTAGCAGACATTACCCTCATTGCTGATTGCACTCGTTATGCAGGTTCAATGAGCGAGGACCCCATGTTTCCTAAGACGCAGTGGCCGACTCCTGATCTCTGTCCCACATGCCATGAGGAGCAAGAAGGCCTTCACGTCTGGAACGAACAGATGGTGCTCGCTTTCCTCAAACAACACTACGGCGCTTCAAACATCTCCCTAAAATACTCCAGCAACAGCCAACCAGAGCCAGGCCCTCCTGCTCCCGACAAACCCAAAGCCATAACCAAACCTAACAGCAACAGTCACCTCAACCAGAACCTAAAGCCATCTCCTGATAGCGTTCCAAAACATCAGAAGAGGACAGAAATCAGTGGTGCGGGAGAGAAGCTCACCGGTGTCCAGATAGAAGCCAGGCCAGGGATGACATTCCTGGGTCTGGGATTCTCCAGCCTGGACATGAGTCTCTGTGTGCTGCTCTACACCCTCTCCTGTGTCTTCCTCATGTTCATGTTTTTCTTCTTCCGCTTTCGCTCAAAGAGATGGAAAGCCAGAAACTACCGGCCTTACGTATAGCAGCGGAATGCTGAGATGGAAAACTGTGGATAAGGTGAATGTAATATATGAAACCCCTGCCAAGTGTTGAAGGAGACTTTTAATTTATTTGATTACTTTTATTTGTTTCGGTTTTTGTTGTTGTTGATGTTTTTGTGAAGTGCTTTGTAATGAAGAACTTGTCTAATGACTGATGAAAGTCCAACTCGAGTATCAGGCCTAGTTGTGTGAACAAGCACCTGTTAGCGAGTATTTCTCAACCCTAAACAAACAGAGAGGATGATTTAACAGGAGAAACTATTTTATTAAAGTAAAAGTAACAACCGAGGTCAAAGTATATTTTTATGAATATTCTACATTATTTATAGAGATTTTTATTGAAATAATATATCCTAAGTTTCTCACAGGGTATGTTTCGCTCTCTATGAAAGTCACACTGTCCCCATATTTCTGTTTGATGGTCCAAAAAACACTTGGGAATATGATTTATTCTGTTGCTCAAGGTCGCTAGCAGAGAAGCCAGTGACACGTAACACACTGCCTGCCAATGACCAGATGTGGAAAAACCCTTGGTTTTGTTACTCTCATGGTCCATTGAAATATGCTATATGAACTCTGTTTTAATTTATTTTTTTTTTGTCTGCAAGTAAAGTCACAACAAGAGCTACTGTGGTACATGAAGTTAATTTTAAGCATAATTTCTATTTTTTTTAACCTTTTAAATCCTGTCGTAATGCTTAATAATTGGTTGTACTGGTGCAACTCAGCAGTAAGGGATTTATAATGACTACAATAATCTCTTTCAAAAAATAAAAATGAGTCAGATTTTCAGACTTTTTGGTACTCTGTTATACTGAGCACACTTAGTGAGTAAACCTTTATTCATAATCTCTTCTTTTTTCTTTAGATTACCGAGACTCTTTTGAACTGGAACTTTTCAATAAATATTTTATAATTTTACTATACTATAATTGTACTCCGAGGATTCTTGATCACAGACCATTTATTGTTCAACATCTATAGTACTACAGCAGTATTTTGATTCAAAGTTTAGAATTAAAATGTGTTGATATTGTAAAACTTTCAATATCATTATCAGCATTTGGTTTGTGGACTGATTTGTAATGTGTTCAGCTTGTGATATTTATTTTATGGAGCAGTGTTAATGTGGACCTGAGGCTAAATATTTATAAAGCATTCTTAATAAAATACGGCTTCTGTGTTGTGACAGTATGTGAACATAATGGTGGCCTTCTAAGCTGCCCCAAATGAACGGCTGTAAATTGCATTGCATTTAATTATTTCCAGTGTTTTAAGAATTATATTTTTATGTAAAGACTATTTTGGGGGGCGGTTGTTCTGTATATATGTAGTTTGTCCTTTCAGGAAAGTTATTGCATTTTGTATAAAGAACACTGTAAGTTGTCTTTCAAATAAAAATGTATAATTCCCACCATTTTCTAGTTCATAACTACCAACAATGCAGATACATACACATATTTGATGTTTTTTAGCCATCAGTGTTTTATATAGCACCACTATAATATACTGCTACATGGGGTATAATGTAAATATGTTTCATTTTGAGATCGGTTTTCTGAAGAGTGGTTCTTAAATGATCATTTATCAGGAGAACAGGATGTACCATCCTGAGAACACAGTGTAACTGCAACTTCAAGTCTAAGCACATTGGGAGGTCATTTAAGTTTTCTATTGCTTGTAAGTCTGTGTCTGCCCTCTAGTAGGCAGTATGGAGTATCCCTTTCCCCACCAGCTCAGACTGCAGTCTGTTCTCCCCAGGGACATCACACATGTGACCATACTAACGCTGTCTATTACTAGAGCTCCAGCTGTCAACTTAGATGTCTGCACAGGCACTCTTGTTTCCAAATGTAAAATAACTTGCTATGTTCATCTCTTCAGACTGGAAAAGGACATTTTCCTCAATGACAATGTGCATTTTGCACTGGAAACAAAGTTTGAGGGCAGTTTCTTCAAGAGACAGTTTAATGTGTCACGTTTTGCTTTTTTCACAGCTTTTAAAGAAACCAGACAGACAGCTGGAAGCAAGTTTTGCAGCATTCACAGGGAGTGTGTCTGCTACACTTTATTGATTTATTATAATTTTCTGCTGTTGATATTAGACAGAAGACTGGAACACGGCAGTTTATCGCTAATAGCGCTGACTCACGCCGTAGCCCATCGGCATCTCAGCATTAAAAGCCAGCGAGTCAGAGACTGAAGCATAGCGCCTTCTTCCCCACTTTGCTGAGAGATGCTGCTTTACTGCCCCACTGCTCTGTACTCAACTCTTACTTGCACACTAGTCTCTCAGTCATCCGTCTAATACGTGCCACCTTAAAATGCTTCTCTGTTTGATGTACTTATCTGACATTCAGGGCAGCTTTGAGGCTGAGTCTCTCTTTTCTTTCTCTTATCGGTTGAGTATCTGTCTGATGCCGTGTTGGCACATCTGATTGGGTATGCAGACTCTGTACTGAGTATGCCAGCCTGTGACAGGGACTGCAATGCAGAGCTGCTCTCCTGGCACACAATTTGTCTGCCCTTAATGTAAATAATCCTGAGCACGGAGCTGATCATGGCAAAGACCGCTTCTGATGGATTATCTGTCTGCACGCGTTTGGGTTGGTGCATGCGGGGTGCACGCTCCCGTTCTTGTCTTTTCTTCGTGTGGTGATGCTCAAATAAAAGTGAGCCATTGCACTCTCTCTCTCTTTCTGTCTTGCCTGTCTTTTGTCTCCATCGCACATGAACACGTTTACTCTCTGCAGGGCAGTTATCCGCATCAGGCTCTCTCTCTTTCTCTCTCGCTCGATCTCTCTCTCTCTCTCTCTCACTCTGTCCTTAAATGACTTTCCTTCAGTCTCACTCCCTCCCCCTAGTCTCTGTGTCTGTGCCTATAGCCTCTCTCCCCCTTTCTGTGACATACAGTAGATGGTGCATCGATTGCACATAGACGCTTGCTTTCCCTCTCGCTGGCTCAGTCCTGTGCGGGGAGAAAGAGGATGGATTGAGACGTATCTCTCTGCTTCTCAAGCTACCTTTCCTCATGCTGAGCTGCTGTGAGGAGCCTGCCTGCATTCTCTCTCTCATCTCGGAAGATTCTGCTATAGAGGTCAGGAAGTGAGGGGTGGCTTT